TCAAGCACAGAGAAAAATTATTGACCCGCTGATAGGAATCCCAGGTTGGTAAAAAGAGAACCAAAAGACAGTGTACAACAGAAACAAGACCACTAAGACTTAATGTATAAAACTTAATCAACATACACAGTAGTATTATTTTCCCTGAAAAGTTAAGGAACAATTGAAATGTATACAGTAACAGAGAATAAAAACTGAATTAATATAAAGCATCATAAGTGAAAAGTTCACTATGCCAGCACTTACATCAGACATTTCTCTTTGAAGAGTACTTTCCTCTTATTTTTAGTCTATATTCACAGTGGTAGTACAATCCAAGGAGCAGTCTGGCTAAGAGTCCCATGCCTCTCTGGAGTAGGATATGTTAAAATGATCCCTGTAAGGACTGTTTAGATCTTTAATAATTGCTATACTCAGGGAATCAGTGTATAACAGAGCTTGTGTGAAGGAGGTTTGAAAGTTGGTCATTGCTCAGTGGTCAACCACCTACATCAAGGGCATCAAAGATGGAGTGAACGACTCCATAAAATTAGGACTAACAGGGGTTGTACGGGGTCTTCAAGCTGAAGAACATTGTTTCTGTTATCTTCCATCACAAAATAAAAGCTAAAGCCTTTTTGAGGTATAAATTGTCTGATACCAAATCTCACTTGAGGACCAACCAAGTCTTTTTACTCACAATTTTCTATATAACAGTATTTTATACTTTAACTGTAAGATTTGTGTGTGTTTTAAATAATTGTTATTTGAAAATTACCTTTACATCTCCTCTCTCACAATATTTCTCAAGGTACCTAAAGAAGTGTATTACATCACTCACTACAAAGTACACAAATGAAAAGGTATGGAATAAAAGAAGAAAATGTTTGTTTTTAGCTTAATATCTGGTAAAATGAAATAAAAATTAACTTAGAACCAACATTTACCAGACATAATTGTTATCATATACTTCCAATAATTATTAAATACACCAATTCCCATGAAAAAAATCCAGATTGAATATTGGGAGATTGTGTTCATGTGTAATGAAGGGCTCATTTTCACCTGAGATAATGGTCTCTGGGGATTTGGATTCACAGTTGAATCCCCGGACTCTTTACAGACTTACTCTCAACCGTAAACAATGACTGTAGGAGACAGCTAGGACACTATAAAAACGTGTTATAATTGTCTTGACTTTCTACTTTAGAATTAATCCTTATTTCAAAAGGTGAGTGTATTCTACCATTAGATAATACTTTATTCTTTGAAAATGTATATGTTTATAAGCTGTAGTTGAGAAACCAGTCAGGTGTAACCACACACAAAAAATTTAACTGAATCAACTAATTGTTATAGTCCAATTCCTGTGAATAATAGTTTTTAAAGATTTCTTATTTATCCAAACATGTAGAAGACTGGAAATTCATGTGGTCTCTCATGATATGTAAGCTTAGTGCTCAAAGAAAGAAAATGCTAATAAATTCACTAGCTTTGACATTGGCGATTTCCTGATAAATATCCCACAGAAAGACAAACTTTGTTTACTGACTGACTGCTCTAGGGTCACAGGTTCCAGGTACTGGGGACAAACACAAGAATATAAGGCTGAAAAGTCTCAAAACATGAGCGTTAACCTGCTTCTAGCTAGGGAACCTGGGTAAACTGAATATTCCAGGTTGAATATTTACATGTGTACTCTGTTGATAATCACATTACTTCATTCCATTGTACTCCAGCATCATTATGTTAGGGAAGGATTTGGTGAGTGTATAGATAAGTACATACTAATATAATTTGAAATAGTATTCATATATTTGCAAGTAATTAGACTGATAATGCAAATGTCTTGATAAAGCATTGGTTTTAATTAGTTAAGTGTTTAAAGTATTTAGTAAATTTATAGTAGTTTCTCCCATTTATAGTTTTAGTTCTCACTTCTTGGAAGAAATTTTATCTCTCACTATAAAAATTGGGCTTAAGGTAATCAGGTAGCTGAAAGACTTGATGACCCACGTCCCTAACCTTGGACCTTCTGTTTGAAAAGCTGACCTTCTGTCTCTTCCCAAATTATCACATGCTCCTCACTCTTCAAACACAGTGTAATGAGAGCAGACTGAGTTCACTCTGTCTGTACTTCGTGTCCTCATTATGTTTCTTATGTAACATTATTACTTAACATTTCAAATCACACTATTTTCAACCATAAAACTTAATAAATAGGAATCCTAATACTATTCCATGGAAATGGCAATAAAGCAGCATTTATTGTATTAAATTCAGTACAGGTGATTTAGAAAGGACTTTTATTTTTAAATCTTTAAATGTTTTATTGTAGTATTTGATCACTTCCACTAACTCTCATAGAACAGTCTCCCAATCCTGATCACCACAGTCAAGAACATTCAATAACATTCTCATGTTCTTTCTTTCATTTATTTTCCATTCTATATCCATGCACAGAAAGTCAAATTAAAAGTACATAATTATCACCACTTTAAAGACATGGGTTGATAAAATTTAAAACCAGAATATTTAATCTGCAGAGTCCTCTTTGACTTCTTGGTGCAGAGAGAGTCTGGCTTTCATCATTAGATTCTAGAAAGTTAATGTAAATCCTATGGGAGCTTCTAGAGCTGGTTAGGAAGAGGCCCTGATGTTCTAGGTGTAATTTACAACTATTTACTAAGTGAAATCACATTATTTTGGCATTTTAATGCCTACAATATCTGCACTGGTGTGAAGAAGCTGAAATATACCCTTATTAATCACCAACTCCTAATCATTATTCATGTACAGCAACAAGGACAAAAAAGTTTCTGGAACTAAACAAAAATATCCTTTGAATTTTCAAGCTTTTGAAAATTTTATTTTATTTCTCTCAAGTTTTTATGCATTTCCCACTGTCCTTGAGTTGTGAGTTGGCTGCTAGATCACCCATATAACCCTGTTCTTAAACTTTCTCAGGACCCCACAGCTAGGACTCATAGCTATCTTATCTTGTGTTTAATAAGAAGATGTATGTATCTCTATATCTAGGTCTTGATATCTTTTTACCAAAGATATATGTATACTTTTGCCTCTGAATTTACATAGATAGAATGTTTGATTTACTCATTTTGGATTCTCTAATAGAAATACAGATAAGTAATTTTGTCAATTGAAAAATAAAAACAAAGTAATCATGCATGTGGAGGAGAGAAACAAGAAATAAGATGAGAGATATTTGCCAATACTGAGCCCATTTGATACCTTATTCACAATGGCATCAGGGTACATTTAATTTTCTTTGCTTCTGGGTATAACCAAAAAGTAAAAGGCCAGATAACATGAAAAAAATTGACATAGTTGGAGTAATGAAACTATGTCACAAAATTGAAAGAATACAACTAAGATGGCATACTTACCACAATTCACTGAAAGGCAAAGTTGGGGTGGTTTCACTCAAATTATTACACAGTAGGAGTTATCTTCTTGGTTTTATCATTCCCATCAGCTAGAAACTGTCATCTTTGTCACTGAAAACTTCAAGTGTTCGTTATTATAAAAGTGTAGGGCTCTGTATGTTTTAGGAAAGGATTTTTAAAGGTCATAACTTGACTACAAATTTTACATTTGTAAAATTTATTTTTCTTGTACATATGATAACTTTTGTTACTTTCATAAGCCTCACTCATGCTAACATATTTAGTTTTAAATCCATAGGTATGTGTTATTATATACATTAAATGTAAAATAAAAGTACATTATTTAAAGGAAATTTCTAACATTTCACTTTGAAATTTGTGAAAGATTCAATATGTATGAGTACATAAGGACTAGAAGTCCAGTTATATGTTTTGAATGATATATATTTTAACTTTTTATTGATTCTTTGTGCATTTCACATCATGCATCCCAATCTCAATCATTTTCCTGTCCCCTAGCTTATGCTCTCTGCTCTTGCAACCTCCTTCACAAAACAAACTTTTAAAGTACAACCTAAAAGTAAAAAAAAAAAAAACCCAAAACAAAACAGACAAACAAAGATCAAGTTTAAAAAAAAAATCTCAGCATGGAAGCTGTACTGTGGCAGTGAGTCACACAATATACCCTTTCGTCCAAACATCTTTACTTGTAAGTATTCAGTGCAAGGAGTCATTGGTCTGGTTTGAGGCCTCTGGTTTCTACTACACCCTCAATGCTGGGCCCTCACTAGGACTCCTCTTGGATATAATATTGTTGCCTTGTGTCATGGAGATCCTGTAGCTTTGGATCTGCAGGTCAAGCCCCTTCATGTGCTCCATCCCTTCAAAGATGAAGTGGGTGTTGTGGTGGGCTATCTTCTAGTACTGGTTCTGGGCCTGAATGGTAGCTGGGTTGGTTAGCCTACTAGCTTTCCTTCATTGTCACCACCTGGGCAACCTCTCCAGCACTTCTCTGCCCAGCTTACCCAATGTAGCAGACAGTGAAGAATTGGGCAGGTTCTTCTGCTCTCACAGCCTCCAGTCCAGCTCATCTGCATTCATATAATCAGGCCAGCTCTACTGCTTTGCCCAGGTGAGGTACAGGGAATATTCTCCAGATTGTTGCACTTGGTGAGGTACAGGATTGGTGCACTTGGTGAGGTTCAGGGCCAGCTCTTCCATTCTTATGCCCCTGAGATCAGCTCTCCTGCCTTTCACAAGTGGCAAGGGATAGGGAAGGATTTATTTCCCTTTACCCTTGCCATCTCATGGAATATGAGCGAGGGGAAGCTGCACTTATCCTACAGAGTCTGCCAGGCCTAGAAACACCCAGTTTTTTTGTGGGTGAAATTCTTCCTGCTGAGGGCTAGAGACTTGGGGCAGAGTTGTGCTTGTCCTCTGGAATCCACCACACTTAGAAATTCCCAGTGATTTATGAGTGAAATTCTTCCCACCGGTATACATTTTTGTAACAATTTCTATCTATGTGTTAATGGAAATGCAGCCACATATTTATAAATCCCTTCTTGTAATGTCTCCAATACAGCCTTGATCTGGCAGCAGCTACACTGTACCATGGCTTTCCTGGAGGATGGGAACCACACTGCAGTGACAGAATTCATTTTATTGGGCTTAACTGATGACCCAGTCCTTAGAGTCGTCCTCTTCACCATCATCCTGTGTATCTACCTGGTGACCGTGTCTGGGAACCTCAGCACCATCCTCCTCATCAGAGTCTCTTCTCAACTCCACCATCCCATGTACTTTTTTCTCAGTCATTTGGCTTCTGTTGACATAGGGATCTCATCTTCTGTCACACCCAACATGCTTATCAATTTCTTGGTAAGTCAAAGTACCATCTCCTACCTTGGATGTGGCATCCAGCTCAGCTCAGCTGATTTCTTTGGGTCAGTTGAATGTTTCCTTCTGGCTGCCATGGCTTATGATCGCTTCATGGCAATCAGCAACCCACTGCTATATTCAACCAAATTGTCCACACAAGTCTGTATCCAGTTGGTTGTGGGATCTTATATAGGGGGTTTTCTTAATGCTTCCTTTGCTATAGTTTACTTTTTCTCTTTTCAATTCTGTGGGCCAAATAGAATCAATCACTTTTTCTGTGATATTGCTCCTTTGATAGAACTCACCTGTTCGGATGTTAGTGTCTTTGCAGTTGTTACCTCATTTTCAGCTGGATCAGTTATTGTGATCACAGTGTTTGTCATAGCCATCTCTTATTCCTGTATCCTCATCACCATCCTGAAGATGAATTCAACTGAGGGCCGTGAGAAGGCCTTCACCACCTGCACCTCCCACCTCACTGCAGTCATACTCTACTATGGGACAATCACATTCATTTATGTGATGCCCAAGTCCAGCTACTCCACTGACCAGAACAAGGTGGTCTCTTTGTTCTACATGGTGGTGATCCCCATGTTGAACCCACTCATCTACAGCCTCAGGAACAATGAGATTAAGGGTGCTCTGAAAAGACAGCTTGGTAAGAAAACACTTTCTTAGAGTAATTGGTTGTTTTGTAAAACTTAATGTAATAATGGCTGTCATGCAAGACCAATGTGACCATTGTCTCAGGTTTGGTTATTAGCCTTCTCATTCCTCCTGTTCCCCTCAATCTCCTTTTCCTCGAAATATATACAGGCATTTTATTTTATTGCATTTCCCTTTGTGTGTCTGTGTGCTTTTAAATGTGTCTTTGAGAATTTTATACATTGCAATTAGATCATTGTCTCCATTTCTCTCCAATGTTTTCCAGTTCTTTACCTCCTTCTTTTACACACCCAACTCCATTTTTTTTTGTCAAATATTTGGTCTGCTTCTGTATACACCCTGGTGTATAGGCATCCACTGAAACATGGTTATTCTACCAAAAACCAAACTCTTAATGGACATTGACTCTCCTTCCCCTGCCACATATTAATTGCCAATAACTTCTCAGGTATGGATGGACTTCACCTCATCTCCCATCTCCATGCTGGGATTTTGTCTGATTTGATCTTACACATGCTGATACAGCTTCCATGAGTTCATATCTACAACCATTGTGTTGTATCTGAAAACAAGGTTTCTTTGTGACCATCCACCAGCTCTGGCTCTTACAATTTTTCTACCCACTCTTTTACAATTCCTGAGCTTGGAGAGAAGGAGGTACAATACAGATGTCTCATATAGTGCTGAGAATTCCACAGTCCCTAATTCTCTGCATATTGACAACTTGTGTGTTAATTATCAACTACTGCAAAAAGAAGCTTTCCTGATGAGGACTGGGAAATGCACTAAACTATGAGTATAATGATAAGTCATTGCAAATTAGCTTAATATTATGTCCATTTAGAAGTATAATGGTGGTAAGTTCTAGTTTGCTAGAGCCTTTGACCTATCTACCACAGGTTTTGGGCCAGATGATGGTATTAGGTGTGGGTTTCATCTTTAAGAGCTAGCTTTATATCCAGTCAGAAAGTGCTTGGTTGCTCTCATGATGTTTGTTTCACTATAGCACCTGTAGGTATGTCATGCCAGGCTAGTGGTTATTGCAGTACGTAGTGTTCACAAGACAAGTTGTCTGTACAACACACATTATATTTAAAAGCATGGTCATATCAGGTTATACATATTGAAATATTTTAATTCCTTCTATTCAATTCAGAATAGAATTCAGATAAAATTCTATGTTCCATGAGTCTCTCCTTGGATTACTCAACTTGCCATTTATTTTTGAGGTTATCAGGAAAAGTGCACTTGCTATTTTCCATTTGGCTGCTTTTTGACTGCTCTCCATGCCTAAAAACACCTCTCAGTTTCCTGCTCAAATATTACTTGCCCATGGGGATTTCAACACTAGCCTACCCACCTATCCTTGCCACAGTACCACTCATATCAGTTTCATTTATTTTTTTCTACCACATTCTAAATTTTAAAAGGTTGATACTTCTTTAGTATGTTCTCCACTGAAGAATCAATTTCATGAGAATTATTTCATTCAGTAATATATCTTTGGTATCTTCTTGGTTCTAGGATACAATAAATGCTTAATAAATACATCTAGATGGAATGAATGGTTCAATGGTTATCCTGTATCTACCTGTAAAACAAATCCCATCTGACACAACGTTCCAGAAAGAATTTTAAATTGTAAAGGCAGGTACCACTGGTTTTTTTATGCCTTTTCTCTGCCTTCCTAAATTATCACCAAACATGTCAAAAAAAAAAGCCTGAAATCATCATTTTATGTAAGTTAATGTTTCTTATTGGTTATAAACTGATTATTTCCTCAATTATTCAAGCTCCATTAATATGTAATATAAAATACATGAAACAGTTGAACATTCTGACTTTAGAGATGTGGATTCACTGTTTATGGCAAGGGTAATATATATAGGACAAGAAAACTCCACTTACAATGGTGCCCAATGTAGTTGATATAGCAGTTTAAGATTCACCTCATGCGATTAAAAAAAATACAAATGCTCAGTAAAACAGATCCAGACAGAAAAACAAACAAACAAACAAACAAACCTCTAAACGGTTTACAGTGTGTTCAAATATATACATAGGCTTGGGAGAGAAAAAAGAAAAAGCACATATGATCATAGATTTAAAAATACAGTTTTAAAATCATAAAATAAGGCCTTTAAAAATGGAGTAGAGTAATATAATAGAAAAAGTCACATAAAGATAGAAATACACAGAGAGTCTAGATAGTGTATGTTATTGTGTTGTCTTTTACTTTTTTGACTGTTGAGGTAGGAGTGATAGCTGCTAAACGCATTGGATTATGAAAGCTGTTGAGCTAAATCAATCTATATATTTTAAAAATGTCTTAACTTCAAAATGTAAGTCAAAAGATCTGTTGCTTATGACTCCAAATGTTGTTTGCTTCTGTCTGTAATTTCACTTGTGCAAAAACAGTTGTGGAATCTCCCCACTACCCATGCTGTAATATGTCCATATTATGATTATATCTCAATCTTATGAGCATTTATTCTGTAGACAGTCTAAAAGATGACTCCTCATTAAGCTGTACTGTCCATTTGATATCTATATTGTTAGCTTACACAGAGTTTGATGAATAAATACGCATACAAAGAAATACCACACAAGTCTGGAATTATAAATCCCTGAGAACAGTCTTATATCATTGCTCAGGCTGACACAGGAAAACAGTTGAGTACAGATTGGCTCAAATTCCTTTAATCTTTATGCTGAGAATTACAGCTACAGGTTTCTTGTACATCATTAGGTGACACAAGGCTTCTAAAGAGCTTTAGATTAGACCAGGTGCCTTGCTATCACAAAGTCACACAGCTGAGCTGCCTGGCTAGGTTGTAAATACAAAGACAGCCCAATTATCACTAGCTAGCAAATGATTTACTCCTTGCACCCATTCCTGACCTCAATTTGTAAGAATATATTCTGACTAGTCAAGGCTACAGAAAATAACTTGACTCTGGCCCTTAACGAGGGCTACAGGTGTTCTTAGATAATCAGAACTTACACACAGAATAGGAAAATATATTTCAAGATTTTAAAATGCTTTTATGGTAACTGTGCTCTTGGAGAATGTCCTAGCGAGCTCATATTAAGAAAATTAAGACAAACCTGAGTTCCTACCAAAGCATTTACGACACAGCTCTCTTTCTGTAAACACTTTTAGAAAGCCTGACATGTCTGCTAATCACAAAATGTTAAATAACATAATAACTGATTCTTTATTTGCAGCTGCATTTGCAGCCAATTAGGAAGCTGAGATTTATTTCTTCTATGTATTGAGATGACTCTGTTTCTTATCGTTTAATAAAATGTGACCTTAAAATGTAACTCCATATTCTACATGAAAGAGGCTATTGAGTATATATTGCTGTAAGAAAAAAGAAAAGTGGGAGACAACATGAGAAAATAGCCAGGGAAGTCAACAACGTGAGAAAAGATAGCAACATGAGAGAATAGGACAATTACCACCAGAATGTGTGTGTTTCTTCCTAAAGCCCTCAGACAGATAAAGTTTAGTTTCATGACTCTGGGCATTCTCTTTGAGCTCCAGTGCAGCCCAGGGCTGGTTCCCCAGACTGCAATAATGGTGTACACCCATGCATGAAAAGTACTCATACACATAAAAAGTAAAAATAAATAATTCTTTTTAAAAAGAAAAAAGATTTTGGAGACAGCTGGCCTACGGGAACTCAAGAAATTTCTCTTCTTTACTCAGGTTTTTATCTGTCTCATAACATTTTTCAATATATAGTTTCCTTATTTTCTAACTTCTTTACATGACTGATTTACATAGTCTCTGTCTCCTGAAGACCTAGAGTTTGCTTCTTAGTCAGTCTCATGGAATGATAGGTGATAAAATCATCTAAACACATCTAACTACTTTATTATCTTGTGTGCAGCCTTTCAGTAGTACTGGGATAAATAAATATTTCTTTTCATGGAATTTGTGGCTTCTTAAAACCTATTTCTAATGTACACCATCTGTTAACACATCCCAATCCAATCCTCAACCCAATTCTCTTTTCATATCTTTTTCACTACCGAATGGATATCACAAAATGGCTCATGTTTTTGACAATCTCATGCATGCACATAAAATGCTGAGAAAATATCCATCACTTTTATACCATTTCTTTCCCAGGTGAGACTGGCTTCTATTTGACTACAGCTCTCTCTTCTGTCAGCAAGAAGTGGAATTTCATGTCAGTACTCAAAAGGGTACTATGCTTTTTGATATGCCTGTTGGGGCAGATGTGAGATTTGAGCACCAGCATATGTCAGTTATTTCCCTATATTTTACAATTTTCTTTATATTTACTTGTTTCACTTTCACTGTGTGTGTGTGTGTGTGTGTGTGTGTGTGTGTGTGTGTGTGTGTGTATGTATGTATCCAAGTCATAAAATTTGGTGGCAAGCATTTTTACTCAGTGAACCATCTTTCTGGCCTACTTTTATTTTCAATATTTATCTAATTTAAATAAGGCTTTAAACTATGAGAAATTAAAAACATATCAAGCCTATGCAATACCTCATACTCTTCTGCCTTTAATTTACCTTGTTTCCTTTCAGCCTTGCTTAGTAACTTTCATTGAAAAGTATTGCGTTTTTTTCACTTGATTGTGAAGCATGAATACTTTCCATTTAAGGTGGGTACTTCAAAGCATCTCCAACCCTAATGTCTTTTTCTCCATCACACTAAGGAAGGACATTTGGAATTTGAGTATGGCTTTCTGGTGCCATAACCCAATGTTACACAGCATTTGGTTTGAGGTCCCATATTATATCAAATTTTGCCTTGCTCTTTCCTGACTCGTAACAATGATGACACAGATGAAAGACGACCATTTCACAAAAAAAAAAATCTGTAGTGCAATCTGTGACAAAATGTCAATCTTTTTTTCCTTTGTTAAAAATTGGAAAGATTCTTCTTTCATATAATATATCCCAATCACAGTTTCCTCTCCTGTGACTCCTCCTAGCTCTGCCCCACACTTCCCCTCTCCCCAAGATCC